GAAAGAAAGAAAGGGAGGGAGAAAGGAAGGGAGGGAGGGAGAAAGGAAGGGAGGGAGAGAGGGAGGGAGGAAGGAAGGAAGGAAGAAATGAAAGAAACATATTCATAAGGGTCTATAGATTTTCTCCTGGGCCTTTTGTCTGCAGTGGACAGAGCCCTTCTTTAAGAATAAAGGAACCTAAAAGCCCCATTTACATGAGATACACAGCTGAGGGCCAAGCGGTTTAGGAAGAGAGACAACTCTTCAGTCAGTCACATGGGCACTCTTATCATAGAAGAAGTAAGAATAGCATGCATTGTTGCCATCTATCTCCAAAGCCCTCTAAAGTTTCCTAAAAGTCATACCATGAAGTTCTAACTCCCAGAAAACCATCTGCTCTTCCTCCCTAGGTGATGGGCGCTACTCCCTCTTGGGCCAGCCATTACAGTACAATCTGTCCATCTGCCCTCCCTTGCTCCATGGCCAGTCGACGTACACGGTACATCAGGTGAGGGTGTCCACCGTCAGCCTGAGGACCGTCAGAGCCCTCCCCACCCCACCCCACCCCACCCCACCCCACCCAGGAGGATCCATCCAGGATGGCCCCATCTCTATGCCATCCACCTCAACCAACGGGGTGGACAGGGGACATAGCACAGTGAGAATGGACAAAGTGGGAGTGCCTTACCCCTCTCCCACACTCAGTCTTTCCACCCATCCCCAATGCTAAGGAGGAGGGACTCTTTGTTTCTAAGTGGCCACTCTGGCCAGTCGCCTACCTGGTGGGGCGAGTTCTCAGGGTTGGGTACTGCTCCTTAATATCCCAGACAGACATTAGAATGCAAGGCAGTCAGTATTGTTTACCTGGGATGAGAGTTATCTTTTGAATGTTGAAGGGACAGAGTGGATTGAAGCATGGAAACCGGAGCAAGAGACAAGCACTCAAATCTGCCTCCACTGACCTGGGGACAACAGACGTTGGTGAGTGACAAGACACTGAATCCCCAAGAGAAGGTGCTCACCCCTTCAGCCTGCATCACCAGCCCAGGACCAGTGGGAAAAACCAGCTTAGGGTAGGGAGTAGAAATAGGACTCTTTGGTACTCAAGAGCAGGGAGAAACTGGGGAATTGAAGTATCTCCCTCAGTCTTCCTTACCAAGCCATTTCAGGTGCTTGGAAAGGTGATGGTAAAAATTGAGAATAACAACAATGGTCAACAGTGCTGAACCTATTAACAGAGAGTCTTGTGGGAGTGGTCCTGACCCTAATATAGGATATCTACCTTGTAGTCCTAGGCCTTTTTAAGGAGAAGTTTGACAAGAGAATGGGGGAGTAGCCCCCTTGCAGGCCTTCCACACTAGGCATACAAGGTCTCTCAGATTACCCCTATTTTTTTTTTAACGTTTATTTATTTATTTTGAGAGAGCATACACGTGTGTGCGCTCAAGCTGGGGAGGGTCAGAGAGAGAGGAAGAGAGAAAATCCCAAGCAGGCTCCATGCTGTCATTGCAGAGTCTGATACAGGGCTTGATCTCACGAACTTTGAGATCATGACCTGAGCCTAAATCAAGAGTCGGGTGCTTAACTGACTGAGCCACCCAGGCACCCACCCGATTACCCCTATTCAGAGTGGTTTGCTTATTTAGGAAAGGAAGGGAAATGGACTTCCCTAGATGATAAGAAAGAGGGATCTCTTTGGGCCAGCCTCTGTGAGGGGGACTATGCGATATATTTCAGCTTGGGTTACCGACTTTGTGGAAGAACTGAAGTGTAGGTCTCCAGATCTGAAGTCTAGGATTCTGATCCCCAGTTTCTTCTTGCCTACATCTCTGGTCCAAGAGAAGAAAAAGGTTTCTTTGTTTCTCCTAGTTGCCTAGATGGTGGGGTGTTGGCTTGATTTGGGGAAGGAGGAATGGGTTAAGTGGGCAAAGCCAGGCTTTGAGGATGTCATCTATAGACTTGGATCAGCTGCCTGCTTCTCTGCTGGCCGCTCTCAGTCCTCTGTACTGTCACCTCTCACAACCATGTCCTCTCTCCTCCCCTTCCAGTCCTGGGCCGGGTGCTGGAGGTGACAGATCTCCCTGAGGGCATCACTCGGACTGAGGCGGACAAACTCTTCACTCAGCTTGCCATGTCTGGCGCCAAGATCCAGTGGCTCAAGGATGCTCAGGGGCTGCCTGGCGGGGGCGGGGGGGACAACGGTGGGACTGCTGAGAATGGCCGCCACGCGGACCTCGCTGCCTTGTACACCATCGTGGCTGTGTTTCCCAGCCCCCTGGCTGCCCAGAATGCCTCCCTTCGCCTCAACAACTCCGTGAGTCGCTTCAAACTTCGAGTGGCCAAAAAGAACTATGACCTGAGGATCCTGGAGCGAGCCAGCTCCCAATAAACGGAGGAGGGGAAGGGACCGGCACAGTAGGGGTGGGGGCAGGGCGGAGGGGGTCGAGGGATCCTGACAGACTACGGACAGAGGCAGAAAGAAAGGTGACAGACACTGAACTGGAGCCTAAGACAGTGGGGATGAAGATGGAAACAGACACTCACACTGGCACTGGACTCCTCGCTCCCCTGCCATGGGTCCCTTCTTTTTCCCTGGTTGGCCCCCCTTGCTGCCCTCTCCTTCCCATCCTCTTCTGTCATTTTTTATCTCTTCTCCCACCATGAAATTAATTTTTTTCATATTTTTTGGTCAGGTAGAATTGGGAGGGTCCCATGCTCCCCTATTCGATCTCCTCTACCATCCCAAGCTCCCTTTTCATTTCTGGTCTTTATGAATATATTTATATGGACAGAATTAAGAAAAGCAAAATTGATTTCCCCTTTCTCTCACTTCCCCCATCTTGTCTCCCCAAACCCCAAAGAGTTAAAACTTGGGCCTCCCCCACCTCCCAGAACACTTGTATATTGTTTGTTTGAGGTTCGTGCCGCAGTAACAGACAGTATTTAATTGCACATACAGATGTTTGCTGGGTATATTCACTGTAAATTTTATTTAATCTGATTTTTTGTTTGTTTGGGGGGTTATTTGGGGGGAGGTTGATTTTGTTTTTAAATATAAAAAAAAAAATCTGTCACTGGACGTCAGTCCCTGTTTCTCTGTTGCTGACCCGGTGTGGGTGGGGGTTGGAGGTCCTAGGTAGGTACAGCCCCACAGCTTGTCGGAGAAATTTCATGTTTTCTTTAACATATGCACACATACCTTCCTAACACTATTCCCTGCATCCCATCCTCCTCCTTGTACATGGTGATTCTGATAGATGGCTGGATCTCTAATGGGACCTTTGTTCTGGGCTCTCCCAACTCTGCCACTAAGTGTGGTTTCATCAAGCACATCCATTTGCAACTCCTGACCTCTGTCTGACTCTTTATTAGTAAAATAGGAGACTTGAACTAACTTGCTTATCTCTGAGGTTCCTTCCACTATGTTAATTCTGTGATACTCATTTCGGGCCCTCCTGGCTGAGCTGTGGAGGGTGAGTGAGATCCAGAACCAGGTTGAGATGGTGGCCTCAACAATCTGGATATGTATCCAGCATCCGATCTTCTGAAAACTCTTCAGGGATGGAGGACTTGGGCCTTTTATAATATGAAAGCTAGAGGATTGGGTTCTATGACAAACAGAAACGGATGTTCTTATATAAAAGCTACATCAGTTGAAGGGTCAAGATACTGTATCACCCAGGCATGCTCAGCAGTCCCTGTCCTATGCAACCGAAGAAAGGTGAAAAACACGTTATCCACCTGCATGGTTGGAGCTTCTCCTCTCTCTGAGGCTTCTCAAAGCTAGCCCTGTTGTCGTGCAGCCTGTCAGACCAGGGCCATTAAGAGCCATCCAGCAGCCCCTTTTCCATCTCACCTACCCCTTAACAAAATAAAAAAGAGCAGTGACAGAAGTGACAAAGTACATTACCCTGGAAATCGCTTGGGTCTGGGTAGCAGTATCTCTAGCCAGGCTCCTCTGAGGCTTGTCTGACCCAACCTCCAACGTAATCCTTTACTTCTTACAGATACAAGGGATAAAGCAGCACTACATGACCACCTCCAAATGGCCCTCCTTTGAGATCCGAGGAGTAACTCCTCTTTCAGCCATGTCACAACCCAGAGTAGGAGAAGGCCACAGCCCTGTGAGACAAGAATGTCAGATATCTCATTGACCCATAAGCTCCTATACCGGGGCATCAGATGAGGGAAGTGGAATCAGGGAATCAAAATGATTTAGGAAGTGTGGGGCTTGGCTGTCCTACCTCCAAAAGTTTACAGTCCTCATGGAGAAGCAGAAGCAGACGTTGCTTACAGAGGAGGAAAAAACCCTGTGTGGTAGCTTGTGCCTTCTGTCCAGTGTTAACGAGACCATCTCTACCTGACCATTAGACCCTTACTCTCCCAGAGCCCCTCAGGTGGAAGTCCCATCCTGGCTTTTTTCAGTAGCTCAGAGAAGTCCCTTCACTTCACCCAGGGGATAAGGTTTTAGAATGGGGGAAGGATGTCTCAGGGGGCACTGGAGAGAATAAAGCAGTACTATGCATGGTCTACACTCCCTTTCAGGATGGCAGCAAGGTACCCCTCCAACCACCAATGGATAAAGAATGCAATCTAGTCTGGCTGACAGGAGACCTCTGAGAATTCAAAGTCTCCTTTCTCACCAGTTTCCAGCCTTTGCTTCCTAAAGGTTTGAGGCTAGATCGATGCTTGAGGGTGTAAAAACATGACCACAGGAAGACAGTGGCTGAAAAAAATCAAAAGCTAGTTCCTCAAGTAGGTCTGGGGCAGGTGGACTCGGAAAGGTGTGTGGACCTCGGGGAAGGCTGTTTATAATTTCATCTTTACGTTCAGTCATCCAAAGTCACCTAAGTGAGTATGCAGCCTGAACAGACACTGCCCTTCCTTGAATTTAGCCAGAACTGACCTGTACACGGTAGATGAAAAACCAGGACACAGTGGCTTTGGGGGATGGGAGGAGTCAGGGTCCAGCCCAGCCCAGACCTCCCCGTGTCCAATTTCTCTGTGTCAGCTGTGGCGCTCAGCTGTCCACTTTCCTCCAGCCCTGTCATTTCAGCTCTGACACCAAGGCGAGAGACTAGGAGGTCTACAAATAACGTCCGGGTAGCCGCTGTGAGTACAGAGGGTACTGGGGGGGCTTAGCCCCCAAGGAAGAGGACCAGTCGTCCCCCAGCACCACCATCAAGACCCCAGGGGCTCCCTCTTTCCTCCACAGACTGTGGACTGACTTAGGGAATCCCAAACGTAAGTTGCCTCTTCATCCCCCGTCCATTTCCAGCACTGCTCCCCGCAGCTTCCCCAATCTGTAGTCTATTCAACGTCTTCGTTTCTCTCTTGCCTGTGAGTAGTTAGGGTTTTAGGAGTGAAATTATTACTCTACTCCAGGACAAGAGCTAGGATTGGAGGGTGGGGTGGGGGTGGGGTCAAGGGAATGGAGTAGTAAGGGAAGGAAAGGCTCATATTACTCTGAAAACTTAAAATAGCTGAGGACTGAGGCAGGCTGGGAACTAGGCCCTGGGCCCCAGGGACTCAAGAAAGGGGTAGGGGAGAGCAAATGTCCTCAGCCCATCCCTCCAGGCATGCTTCTGGACCCACCCATTAAGCCTCTTGAAGAATGGGAGTTCTGGGAAGGTGTGTGTCATATCTTGGTTGCCCACAGATTCCCAGGAGAAACAAACTGTAGGAAAATCCCTGAACCATGCAGCTTTGAGCACCGTGTTGGGGCTATAAATTCGGGTTGCGCCTCTGGGTGGAAAGGATGGGTATCTAGCTGTTTGAGGAACTGGCGGGGAAAGTCTTTTGTCTGTTGCACTTTTCTCTGGACCTCCATGGAATCTTTCTGTTCATAAGTCTGTCAAAGGATTTCTGTTTAACCAAAGTCCTCCCAAAGTCTCCCTTTCAAGGACCCCCCCCCCCCTACAGTGAGGGACAGGAATTAGGAAAGGAAGAATGGCAGTCAGGGATCAGATTCCATAGTGGGTCCAACCTCTTGCAGGATGACAGAAAAGGAGGTGCTGGAGTCCCCCAAGCCCTCCTCCCCAGCAGAGACTCGGCAAAGTGGGGTGAGTCTGGGCCTCCGACCACCGGGTGCGGGAAGCTGGGAACCCACTGCAGCCCTTGAAGAATGCTTGAATTGATCTCACTTGTTCATGACTCCTTTATTGGCAGAACGCCAGCCAGCACCTACAGCCCCCAGTACTCCTAATCCTGGGGTGTGCCCCCTTGCCCAGGCTAGAAAAATACTTAGCTTCAGCCTTACCTGCTCTAGAGAGCATGACAGTTCTTTTAACTTTGGGTTTCCTCCCCTCCCCACTCCCCTGCCTCCCTCAGCTACAGCGGCTGAAGCAGTTATTCAGGAAGGAGTCTCCTGGGACGAAGGAGATGGAGCTTCCCCCAGAGCCCCAGGCCAATGGGGAGGCAGTGGGAGCTGGGGGTGGGCCCATCTACTACATCTATGAGGAAGAGGAAGAAGAAGAGGAGGAGGAGGAGGAACCACCCCCAGAACCTCCTAAGCTTGTCAATGATAAGCCTCACAAATTCAAAGATCACTTCTTCAAGAAGCCCAAGTTCTGTGATGTCTGTGCCCGGATGATTGTGCGTGAGTCACGAAGGGAAGCGGAGAGAGCGTGATGTGGAAGGCAGGAGGCGGGGGAAAGGGCTCAGGAGAGGAGCGTGTAGCTGACAGGCTATGGCAAGAGGTGGCTTGAGGAAAACACATTAGAGACTGAGAGTGTCGGGTCCTAGACAGAAAAGGGACCTGAGAGCTAGAGTAGTAGCGCTGGTACAAAGGGAAGGGGAGATCAGGAACCTCACCCACATGTTCTTCCCTCTCCCAAGTCAACAACAAATTTGGGCTTCGCTGTAAGAACTGCAAAACTAACATCCACGAACACTGTCAGTCCTATGTGGAGATGCAAAGATGCTTCGGCAAGATCGTGAGTAGGCTCTGGGGAGCGAGGAAGCGGAAGGGAGGGGACATATTGCCAGCTCCCCCCTTCTAGTCCCTCCCAAGTCATCATATCCATTTCCCTGCTTTTTCTTTCTCAGCCCATCTCTTATTCTAAGAAGAAGTTGCACTCATGGGAGAGATGGGGTTCTGGGCCCTACTTTGCTGTCTCTAATGCTTTCTCCCATCCCATCCTACAGCCCCCTGGTTTTCATCGGGCCTATAGCTCCCCACTCTACAGCAACCAGCAGTACGCTTGTGTCAAAGATCTCTGTAAGTGCTTCAGGGGGACCCAAGGGAAAGGGGAAGCCTAGAGGTGGTCCCAGCACCACCTCTAGATTTGGAAGCCAAATTCTGAAACAGAAAGAGTCTACTTCCCATGGTTCTTTCTCAACCTAATATTTTAGCCATCTTGAATAGAGTCCATATTCCTGTGCTAGAGCCAAGAGAGAGGAGATTAAGCTAGGGCTCCACACAGCTAGCAGGAGACAAAGCCAAGACTGAAACCTTCATCTGCCTAGCTGCAAAATCGGTGTTCTTCATATGTAAAGCCATTTCTAAGCAAGAACAAGGATTCTGGACCATCCTCATCCTTGTTACAGAATAATACCAGTCTCAGGGCTAGACCAAGAGCTGTGGGCATCCTGGGCAGATTCATAACTTGGCAACTCTTACAAACATATTCGTTGACAATTTACTCAACATTTATTTGGAGGAGAGGCTGAACTGTGTGAGGAGCATGGGTGGAAAAAAGAAGAACCCACTGGTGGCAGCACCCCAGCTTGCACATGCCACTCAGCGGAACAAAAGCCAGCACTTAAAGGACCACTCTCCTTAGAAGGAGAATAGTAATTGTGAGCATTCCCCAGCTCCCAAGCAACTTGTTAGCAAAGGTGTCTTTCCATCATCATAGAATGCTCTGCCCGGAAGGAGTGCTGGTAAGTATTTTTCTCCATCTCATTACATTTCCAGTGATGTTTTTAGAGCGCTTTATAGATTGATGACCTAGGTATGCCCAGCTGGCCCTTCCCTAATCCTACACGCACGCACACGTGCACACACGTATCTCTATGCTCCATCCCACCTCTCCCTTACCTAGGAGGTCTCTCTTTCCTCCAAGCCTTTCTCTGCTTCCCCAGTAATGGCTTCATTCTTCCCCTCCTACTAGCTGCTGCCAATCACAATGATCCTGTGTTTGAAACCCTGCGCACTGGGGTGATCATGGCAAACAAGGAACGGAAGAAGGGACAGGCAGATAAGAAAAATGTGAGCACCATACCTTCCTCCTGAGGTCCCCTCAAGAGATTCCATGGAACAGGTCCTGTCTCCTCTCTGGAAAGCCAACAGAAGCTAGGGATTCTCTTCCCCTAAAATTGCAACAAATTTTTTGCATGCACTCTTAGAGGGCCTCTGGTTGAGAACTGCCATAGTGTGTATGTTCTTCAGAAACTCCCTTCTGAAACTATCAGATTAAGCACCAGAACCAACTGAAGGCTAGGCCCCAGGCTCCTAGCATTGCTGGACAACAGAGGCAAGAGCTATGCTTTTTGGATTTGGGGAAGAAAACTTATCATGCCAAGTAATCAGAATTCTAGAGCCGTGAAGGGTCCATGAAAATCCACGAAGAGTCCATGAACATCCTCTTGCCTGACTCATTTATCTTATAGTTGAGGAAACTGATGCTCAAGACCAGTGGCCAAAAGCAACTTCATTTCCTTCTGTAATAGGATTACTAGACTGGTAATGCCGTAGACTTGCCTTGAGTCTGCCAAAGAATTTGTTAGCATATCCTTGTATCTTTCTGGACAACCAGGATGGACTGATGTGGATAGCAGTTAGATGGGATCCTAAAACTGGATGAATGACGATGCCCAAAGGATCTAGGTCCTTTAGGGAGTGTCTGGCTAGAGGGAGATTTCTGATACCTTATCAGCATGATTTGGTCCTCAGTCCTCACCTGTGGGTATTTTTCTCACTGATGCAAATGGTATTATCCCTTAAGTTTGTGGGAAACCTAGGAGGGAAAACTTATATGCTGAACAGTATATTTTAAAATCTTACTAGAAGAAAAGCCCAAAACCAATAATTTGAAATTTTGTCAGGAAAAATGCACATGTCTGTTGTTGGATAAAAAAAAAAAAATCAACTGCACAAAAACAGAACTAGGGATTAGCCTCAGAGTAGTTGATATGGAGGTTGGGTGTAAGTTAGAGATTTCTGTGGAATGAACTATGACTTACAAGGCACTAGCAATATGATTTGACTGCTTCCAGAAAGGCAAGCACACTCAGGTTCTCTTAAGGGAATTAGAAAAACTGTGCTGCCCATTTTTCTCTTACACACTGGAGTATTTTTAGGAGCGGACATTGTAGTAAAAAACCTGGAATCAGGATCATGGGGGAGGGGGTGATTTGAAGGAACTGATTAGAGAAGAAAATGCAGGAAGTGCTTACCAGCTCAGACCTTTAAGGGGACTATGTTTGTTCCATATTGCTCCAGAGGCCAAATCAGTACCAATGTACTAAAAGTTCAGGGAGATTGACATAGCTTTAATTTAGGGAATTGCCCTCAAATTGCATGAACTTACTTTGTAAGGTAGTGAGCTCCTTGTCATTAGCTACATTCAAGCACAAGGTGGATGGTCCACCTGCCAGAAAGTTTTCAGGAAGCCTGGGCATTAGGCTGGTGGTTGAACCAGGTATTTCCTTCCAAGGCTCCTTCCAAGCCTGAGATGCTGTTATTCTATAGTTCTCTGGCCTGGCTGGAGAGCCAGGGCAAGCATGGGTTCCCAAGAGAGCATCTTCCTAACTCTGGTACCCCCTCCAGCCTCTAGCAGCCATGATGGAAGAGGAGCCAGAGTCTGCCAGACCAGAGGGAGGCAAACCCCAGGATGGTGAGCGTCACCCACCTCCATCCATAGAGATGGAGTACGGTCAGGGACTTGGCTGGGTAACAGGGGATGGAGGGCCAAAGGGCATGGCAGATTTGGAGATAAAAGAGGCTCTGCACGGAGCACCTGGATGGCTCAGTTGGCTAAGGGTCCAACTTTGGCTCAGGTCATGATCTCATGGTTCATGGGTTTGACAGTGCAGAGCCTACTTGGGATTCTCTCTCTCTCTCTCTCTCTCTCTCTCTCTCTCTGGCCCCCCCCCCCCCCCCTCAATAATTAAATTAATTTTTTTTTAATTAAAAAAAAGAGGTTCTGCAACAGAAGGGTAAAAGAATGAGGGTTACCCTCCAGGAACTAGAGACAATTTTGGTGTTTCCCATCCCAGGAAACCCTGAAGGGGATAAGAAGGCTGAAAAGAAGACACCTGATGACAAAGTGAGAATCCTTTTTCCCTGCAGGAACCCCAGTCCTCTCCCCAACCCAGGTCTGACACCACTCATGGCCTCCACAGAAGTTCACACTTACTCCATGGGTTCCCATCACCCTTAACCTGCCTTCACCATGCACGTGCGTGCGCACGCACGCACACACACCCACACACCCCAGAATCCTCTCAGTTCAAGGAGGTGGAAGAGAGTTGGAATGTAGTGTGTCTGCACAATGCCCCTGCCTTGGACTCCTGCCCCTCAGTGTGGGAGAGAGGAGCCCAGAGACTCATCACCTCCTTTCACCCCCAGCACAAGCAGCCTGGCTTCCAGCAGTCTCATTACTTTGTGGCTCTCTATCGGTTCAAAGCCCTGGAGAAGGACGATCTGGATTTCCCGTGAGAGGCCTTAGACTGGGATAGGGGGTGGGGTGGGGGGGCGGGGATAGGGGTGGGAGTACTGAGAGTGGAGAGGGGAGAGTTCATCTCCTTATGGGAAAGGAAAGGGGGTATCAGGGGCTTAGAGCCTGTTGGGGCTGGACCGGAGCCAGATATATAAGTAAGCTCCCTAACTCTCAGAGGCCTCTCCCTTCCTCTTCCAGGCCTGGAGAGAAGATCACAGTCATTGATGACTCCAATGAGGAATGGTGGCGGGTAAGAGAAATGGCAGAGGCTAGAGTGGGACATGGGTTGAGTTTAGAATCTGAGATTGAGAGACTGATTCTCCCTCCCGTCTCCTCCAGGGGAAAATAGGGGAAAAGGTTGGATTTTTCCCTCCAAACTTCATCATTCGGGTCCGGTCTGGAGAGCGTGTGCACCGCGTAACGAGATCCTTCGTGGGAAACCGCGAAATAGGGCAGATCACTCTCAAGAAGGACCAGGTAGCTCTGGTGCCCCATCCAACCTCAGGCCCCAAGATTCCTCGGCAAACCACACTCCTTGCAGATCTTAACCCGTTAACGGGGCTAGGATAGGCCTTCATAAATCCGGGCTCCCCTGCTCTCCTCTTCTACCTTTTCCCTTGATTCCTCTCCTCTCTAAACCTTTAATACTTCAGATAGTGGTGCAGAAAGGAGATGAAGCCGGCGGCTACGTCAAGGTCTACACCGGCCGCAAGGTGGGGCTGTTCCCCACCGACTTCCTGGAGGAGATTTAGGCGTGCAGGCGCCTGCTGACCGAAGATACCCATGCCCCATTCTGGGCAGGCCCAGTGGAGGCTGGGGAGGAAAGGGGCGAAAGCAACTATGCTGGAAAGGGGGAGGGGTGGGAAGGCCCGCCAGAGCGTGAAGGGCCTTCTGGGAAGGGACTGGTTCCCGCCCCCTCTCTCCCCCGGCCTAGGGCCTTGGATACCTGGTACCCAGAACGGCCTCACCTGCAACTCCTCAGGCCCAGCCGTTGAGAGCTGGAAAAAGAACGCGTCTCCACTAGGAGGCGCCCTGGGGGTGTGGGAGGCGAACTGTCGAATGTTGCGAATGTATTAAAGTTTTGAAAAAAGTTAGAAAAGTTTGTTCTTTAACTGGGGGCTGAGGGGAGAGGGAGGAGAGGACCTACGAAGCGTTGGAGAATCCTCCCCAGCTGTCTCACCTCACTATCATCGGGTAACCCGACATCCACCTGGGCTGAGGCTGGTGGGAGGTGGGGAGACAGGTGCGTCCGCCAGGCGAGGCCTCTGTTGTCAGCGAAGAAAGGGGAGCCGGACTAGAGTCACCACCCCCGCGTCCTGGCGGCTAGGAGAAAGATCTGGCTGCAGGGTAGGTCCCCCTACCTCTAGGCGAGTTAGCCGCGGGCAGCCCCCCTCACATTTCGGAACCTGGCTCAGTGCCGAGCTAGGCCGCCAGGGGGCGATGCAAGATCTTGGTTGGAGAGCAAGGGACTGGGCGGGGGAAGGGGGGCGGAAGGAGAGAACCTGAGACACCGTGCCGGAGACCCTGGGCCTGGGAGGGGGTGGGGTGCGTGCCGTCTCCATGACAACACTTCCTCAAGTCCTCTGGGAACCGAGTGAGCGAGGCCGGGGGGGGCCTAACCCCTCCCGCGCGGCCCCCGCCCCAGCCCTTTGCGACAGGTACCGAGTGAGAGGGCGCGGGGCAGACAGCAAACCGGCTCACGCGGGGACCCCCCCTGCGGCGCGCCGTATGCAAATGTTATTGTTTGCATATGCAAATATGCAAATGTGCCGGCCCCGGTCAGGGTGGCAGGTGGCGGGGAGCGGGAAGGTGTGGGGAAGGGAGCTGAAGGATACGAGGAGTTTGGGGACCTGGGAGCGGACCAGTGAGAGGCAGCCTGAGGTGGTCCCTGGAGTAGGGCAGGCCGAGGGTCTGGAGCTCGATGGCGGGTGGGGGAGGGTCAGCCCCGCCAGTCAGATCCTCTTCTGCCCGTTGTCTGCCATGCCTGAGGTTGGCACCGCCTAGCAAGGTTGGCAGCGGGAGCCCGGGCACCATCTGCTGCTGGCGGGGGGAGGGCAGAGGCTCAGCTGGGCTGGGGAAGAGAAGGGCCCGGGACGGACTCGCCCCCCTTCCTTCCAGAGTGGGGGTAGGGAAGCACATAGGAAAACTCAATGCAGAACCCGGTTCAGTTTCCTGTTCCCTTTGCCCTTGACTGTCCCGGACGCCCGGGAGCGGCAGCGGGGTCATAAAGACTCAGGCAGCCCCCCCTGTAACCACCCTCGGGCTGGAATAAAAGCAGATCTCAGGCATCCGCCTCCAACACCACACACAGATCAAGCCTTTTGCCCCCATCCCTCCTCGGGATACGCCTACCAAGAAAGGCGTGGTGGAAGGGGGGGGGGCGGGTTAGTCGGAGGTCCCGGTGCTGGGAGGCTAGGTCTCGGGTCGTATCTCTTTATCAAGAGATATGAGCGACTCAAACCCAGATCCCCCGAAATCCTCGAGAGGGCCCCCCCCCAATGCTGAAGCAAAACCAATTTACTGGCTCATTGGGCGGCGATGCTGGTGTGGGGGTGCCGAGAAGCAGAGAGAGCTGCTGTTCTCCCCCCTCTACACTCGGGGGCACCCCCTCCCCCGCCTCGTGGAGTCGGCAGCTGTCCCTAATTAGAGCGGCGGTTTAATTGGATTTATCAGCAGTTAATAGGAAATTAAGCAAAGGGCCCGAGAGAGGGAGGGCGGGAGAGGCGGGGAGGCCGGCTGTGCCAAGCTCGAAGGACGGGTTCTTGGGGTGCCAGGGGTGGGGACATAGGCCCAGTATCGCGACCGAGCCCCATGATCACACCTTCCCCTCAAGTATTTGCCCGCCGTTGAGCCCAGGCCTGCCAGCGTATAGTAGGACTCATATGAGGGAGGCGGAAGCGACAGCGACCCTCTGTGAGCCCACACACCCCTCACCCGGCAAACGGCCGCCTAGGTGATGGATGATGTTGCCACACGCAGCAAAGGTCATAAGTCTGGGCCAAGGAACGGACTGAATTGAAAACAGACCGGAGGAGGGGCCGGGTTACCAGGGTCCGGGACACAGCCCGCACCCTACTCCGCCGCAGTGCCCCCTGCTCTCGGCAAAGAAAATGCCCCTTACAGTGGGAAGATTGGGCAGTACCGGGGAATGAGGGGGAATACAGAGTGACCCTCTTTTCCACGCCTGCCTCGCGGCTCTGTGGGGCATCCTGGGAGTCCCTATGTCCTTCTGTTGCTCCCCCTCCTCTCCCCAAGTACTGGGGTTGGGACTGGCTGGATTGGCTGTTGTCAGAGTGGCCCAAGGTGTGCACCACCCACCCTAGGGGCCAAGGAAGGAAACTAGCAGTCAGTCAAGCAGGGGAGCAGGGTCCACAGCCCGGGGCACTTCCTGTAACCAACACCTCATTATGTGGCTAGGCTAACAAGGCCTGCTCCTGGGACTCCAGCGACCTCTCTGCCATACTCTTCCATGGGAGGGCACAGACAGCAGCTCCTGTATATGTGTGGGTGGGAACCTCTGAATGTGTGGGGGTTGGTAGTGGTCTGTGTCCCTGGAGATTATGGGTGTTTATGCCTCTGGTGTGTGTGTGCACGTGCCTGTGACCCGAGCGTGTGAGGTGTGTATATCAGAGCACGAGGTGTAGCGTATGTTGTTGGTATGTGTGCCCCTGGTGTGTGTCCGTGGCCCTAAGTATGTATTTGTCAGTCTTGTCCCTGTTCTCCCACTCAACCTCTATAATTTTTGTCTGGCTTAGCCCCTGGGTGTCTAAGGTGTGCATATGTGCTCTGGCATGTCTGTGTGTCTGTGCGATCTTCACGCCTGGGTGTGCCCCGGTGTGGGCATTTCCGCGTGTCTCTGCCTGCAGGACTGTGTATGTGTGAAAATCAGGAAGAGCCACCGGTGAGTGTGTATTGCTCTGGCGTCTCCGCCTGCAGGTGTGTGTATCTCCGTGACAGTGCGTGGGCGTGTGCCTGGGTGTGAGCCGCGCGACAGTGTATTCGAATGACAGTGTGACGCACGCTCGCTCCTCTGTGTGTGTGTGTGTGTGTGTGTGTGCGCGCGCGCGCGCGCGCGCGCCTGGGTGAGTCTCCCACACCCGCCCCTTCCTCTCCCCATTTCTATTCCTCTCTCCTCTCCGGGCGGGCTTGGCTCCGCCGTCCGCATCATCTCCATCCATTATTGAAGAAACAGCCGCGTCCGCTCCAATCACATCAACACCCCCGCCCCCCTCCGTTCCGCTCGCCCCGCGGCCCCTCTGGGTGCTAGGGAGGGGGGAGCCGCGGCGCGGCGGGGGCGCCGGGCAGGAGCGGGCTCCTGACCCTGTGCCCCGAGCCGGGCCAGGCACCGGGACGCCGGGGTCCCCGGCGGAGAGCGCTTTGCATAAACAGATGGCGCGGGCGTCTTTGTCTCGCTCGTTCGCTCGCCGCGCGGCTCCCAGCTCCGCGGCTGTCTGGCTGATGCAATCATGATCATCTCTCGGAGCCTCGGGACCCGGCGCCCTTAATAGCGGCAGAGGGGGTCAGGGGCTCCGGGGCTCCCGAGCAGATGCTGGGCCCTGTGTCTTCCCTCCCCGGGCGTCCCTTCCACGCCCCACAGCTGCAGAGGGAAGACAGGAGGCCGCGCAGAGGTGACGGGCATGTGGAGGTGACCGGGAAGTGGACCCCGGGCAGTGCCCTGAGGTGTCCCCAGGCTGTCTCGTTGGACTGCTGCAGCCCCCCAGGGGCAGCAAGCCAGAGAATAGTAATAGAACTGGGGGGATGGGAAAGGGGAGAAAGAGAGACAGAGACAGACAGGCCTTTGTAAAGAGAGATGCAGAGGGTAGAGAGATGTAGAGGGAAGGAGAGACAAACACAGAGAGACACAGAAACAGATGCAGAAGGACAAAGCCTGGTAGAGAGAGCTGCGAAGGGAGAGACAGACAGACACAGCCAGAATGATAAGGAACAGACAGACATACACAGAGACAGACACAGAGAGACAGAGTTAGGGCCTGAAGAATAAAGAGGCAGAAAGAAGAGCAGTCAGAGACTGGGGTAGGCAGGGTCAGAAGGCAGAGGGTCTGGAGCGGACCAGCTGCGCAAGAGGGACCAGCCTGAACCCGTGGTGCCACCCATAGCTGGCGAGGTGGGAGATGGACCCTTCCCTCTCCGCACCTGCCCCTGGCCCCGCCTCACACCAGAAGAGGGGAGACTGCGGGACCCAGTGCCTTGGCAGCTGGAGTAGCAGGAGCCGCAGGCGGGACGTGGACGGACACTCCAGGCACTGACTTAACCTGCCCGAAATTGGTGGGGCGCAGAGCCTGCGCGACCCGATAGGGGGCGCCCGAGGCACCTCCCCTGAGAGCTTGGGAGCAGCTCAACCTCCAGGGGGCGCCCCGCGCCCTTAACCCCAGCAGCCAGCTCGCACCGCCCAGCCTAGCTGCTTTTGACAAGCGGTGCAGCCAGCCAGCGGATTAGTGTCCTGGCGCGATTTCGCGTTCAGAACCTGGTCCCCACGGGACCCCGCACGCCCCAGGCCACGCCTAATCCGCAGCTAATGACTTCTGCGGTTCCTCACCCGGCTCGATCAGCATGGCCTGAGTCCTTCTGATGGGAAAGTGCGGGAAGGTGGGGAGACAAGGGATCCGGAACTCACGGAGTTCTGAGTCCCAGCTCGGCCGCACAGATCACGATCCAGAAATGGGAGGGGGCTAAGAAGTAGGGTCTCAGACCAGGGGTCAGAGACTGGCACCAGAAACGGGTGCAGGGTCAAAGAGCCCTGGCAGGGCCAGAGCAGAAGCAATAATAAGGTAATAAGGCGCTTGGAAAGTGGGGGTGGAGGCCCACAGCAGGAGGAACAGCGGCGTGTCTAGGAAAGCGGCGGGGCAGAGAGTTCAGAACGCGCTAGACTCTGGTCACCAAAACTCGCAAGAAATGGTGCGGGAGCGTGGGTGAGGCCCCGAGAAGCAAAGGGGCGTGGCGCAGGGGCTGGACGTCCCTGTTGGCGTCCTGGCGCCCCAGCTGTGCCACACAGAGCCAGATGTACAGCCCAGATGTGCTGCCCCTGGAGATCGAGCTCCAGGATTGATTTTTAGTCCCGGAGACTGGAGGGCTG